AAAAAAAAAAAAAAAAAGAATGTGGAAAGAAATTATTGAACATGTTTTAAAACCAGGAAACTTTGAAGAGCAATTTGGCTAAATCTAGTTTAAAGTTTATTTGTGAAAAGCAGCAATTCCAACTCTGATACAACTCAAGCGTAGGCACAGGAGACTTCTACAAGGCTGTTCCACAACATTATTTGTAATAAGAAGCATGGAAATTAGGAAAGCACAAATTGTCTACTGGTAGGAGAATGAATAAATAAAATGTGATATGTGGAATACTCATACAGTTGATTACTATACAGCAGTTAAAAATGAACGATATTAACTCACTTAAGAAATATATACATATATTGGCAGGCATAGTGGCTCACATCTATAGTCCCAGCACTTTGGGAGGCCAAGGCAGGAGGATCACTTGAGCAAAGGAGTTTGAGACCAGTCTGGGCAACATGCTGAAACCCTGTCTCTACAAAAAAAAAAAAAAATACAAAAAATTATCCAGGTGACATGGTGCACACCTGTCAGGAGGCTGAGGTGGGAGGATTGCTTGAGCCTGGAAGGAGGAGGTTGCAGTGAGCAGTGATAGTGCCACTGCACTCCAGCCTGGGAGACAGAGTGAGACCCTGTCAAAAAAAAAAAAGAAGAAGAAGAAAGAAAGAAAGAGAGAGAGAGACAGAGAGTGAGAAAGAAAGGAAAGGAAAGGAGAAGAGAGGAAGAAGGAAAGAAAGAAGGAAAGAAAGAAGGAAAGAAAGATTGAATGTTTACTTGCCAAATGCTCTTCTAGGTGCTGGAAATTCAGCAATGAGCAAGACAGAGTCCCTGCCCTCAGAAAACTTACAAATAGATCCACATATACTAGCATGGATAGAAGACAGAAACATCACAAAATAGGCTGTGAATATTAAATTTGAAAATTCTTAAATTACTCACTGAACAATCACACATATTATTATGTATATGGGCACATAAATGTATTCTTTAATGACCTCAAACAATACATACAGATATTATATAGGGTTGCTTTGAGGGAGGGAATGTAGGCAACAGGACTGCAAAGGTAGGTCAAAGGGAACTTCAACTTTATCTGTACCTTTTTTATTAGAAAAAAGATAAACCAGCGTTTGATAATATTAACAGTCAATTCTGCATTTTGGAAACAAGCATATTTGTCTTATTATTCTCTGTGCTTTATTTATTATTTTCTCAAAATTAAAGAACATACAACAAGGGATTTTAGTATTTTACAGAACAGAAGGTACAATTCAGCTGGGCACCGTGGCTCGCGTCTGTAATCCCAGCGCTTTGGGAGGCCGAGGCGGGTGGGGGTGGGCGGATCACCTGAGGTCAGGAATTCGAGACCAGCCTGGCCAAACACAGCGAAAACCCGAAAACCTGTCTCTACTAAAAATACCAAAATTTAGCAGGGAGTGATGACGGGCGCCTGTAATCCCAGCTACTGGGAAGGCTGAGGCAGGAGAATTGCTTTAACCCAGGAGGTGGAGGTTGCAGTGACCTGAGATCATGCCACTGCACTCCAGCATGGGCAACAGAGCGAGATTCTGTCTCAAAAAAAAAAAAAAAAAGAGAGAACAAAAAGAAAGTACAATTTACAGACAAGAGTCCTGGAGAAGTTAGGTTCAACCTAGAAATGGAGGGGTTGTTTCTTCCCCTAAAACAAAAGAGCAGAGGAAGCAAGAGATGAAGAAAAATAGAAAATAGGATAGGAGTGGAAAGTTGAAGGAGATTGCAGATAATCTTGAACTTCTCAGTAAAGCAGAAAGCAAGATCATCTTCTGAGTGCAAGGGGAAGGGGAGATCACACAGTGAGTTTCAAAAACATGAAAAAAGTTTTTAGACAACCAATAGAGGAAACTAATCAATGAGTCTCCAAGAGATTAATAAAAGGACTACCAAGCAGCAACAAGAGCCAGGTCAGGTTTGGTAGAATGAATTTGCAATGAACTGAATCAATGGTTTCATGTTTTTCTCCATCACGACTTGGTAGCCTAGAAAAAAAAAGAGAGAGAGAAATTAATTGGTAATGGTGAACATGATTTAGGGATTGATTGGATAGGCACTTGGTGGAAATATAAGGTGATATGTTCTAGAGTGATAGTTAAAGCATCTTTTAAAGTTCTCAACTTGAGAGACTGGAATAGAAAAAAAAAATGGAGCTAGAAAAAACTGTGGCTGTCTTGGACTAAGGGTTGGCAAGGGCATGACATGTATGTTAACTATTCTGTCTACAGGCCAGGCCATAGACAGAAATCACTAATAGATCTTGATACCCTTTCTTACCAACTCAGTACTCCGGGAACTTAGTACCAGTAGATTAGAGAGGATACACAATTAAAACGTACCAGACACACCTGTACCTACAAGGGGCTCCTCCAAAGCAGTAAACATGTCATATTAATCTCTCAATCCCCAAGTGTCCCACCTGCCACATACTAAGCTCTCATTCAATAAATGATTGTGGAAAGCAAGAAGAAAATTGTGGGGAGGAAGCAGGGAAGAGAATAGTCTGTGATGAAAAAGAAAGTAAGACTAGAGTCAGAAAGGGGAGGAGCACAAAGCTGACATCTTTGAGACAGAGCTAAAAACAGTTATAGGTTTGCCTCTTCTAATGAATGAAAAAAATATTAAACAGGTTGTTAAACCATAACTCTAAATTTTCTTCTATTAAGTTTTCTCTTTCCTTTCTTGGAAAGAGTTTTTTTAGTAACTTAGCCTATGAAAGGCTAACTTTAACTTCAGGCAGAGTAGTCTAATATAAAAGTTTTAGCATCTAAACATTTAAAAACCAAGAGTTCACTAATGTTTTGTTTATATAATATGGATGTTCTGAGGAATAAATACCTTCTGTCACACTGTTATAGAACTGTAATATTTTCAATTGACAAAAGTATGGGATTTTTGTGTTGATGATTTTTTCCATAAGAAGCATGAAGAATTTTGGCTAAAGTCTGATATAATATAGAATGTAGGGAAAACATTTCTGGTTTTCTGATCCTTAAAGAGAAAATTTAAGATACTTAGTTGTTTGAATTTTTCAACCATTGATAACTGTAATGAATTATGAATGCAAATGGTTTTAGTAATGCTGTCTTAACATTTACCTGAAAATAAAATTAACTACTTTTCTCTGCATGACTCAAAAATTTGTCTTACATGGTTGCTCTCTAACTGGTATTTTTAATGGAAAGATTGGATATTTTCCTTTGTTCATCGTCTGAACTGCCTCTGATGAGCTCATCATGAGGCAAAACATGCCAAGCCTTCTTATCAGCCACATCAACCATGATGAGGCCAGCGACGCTTTGTTAACAGATATTAGCTGCAGATAGCAGAATACAAACAAGACTTGAGTATGGAGGTACAGCCTTAGGAAATATGTGTAAAGTACTTAAAATAAAGGTACCTTCCAGCCAGCCACAGTGGCTCAAGCCTGTAATCCCAGCACTTTGGAAGGCAGAAGCAGGTGGATCACCTGAGGTCAGGAGTTCGAGACCA